TCCTGGAAGTCAGTGTGTATGTGGTATCCTGGAAGTCAGTGTTCTTCTGACATCCACAATGCTTTATAGCACTGCTACAAGTGCCTTAAGTAGCTATTTATTTCAAAGCAGTCAGGATAGTCTTGGTGGAACGTCTAGAATTAAAAGCAATTGTGAAATCTTAGTTGGCACAGATTAGTCCCAGGATTTGGGACTAGCAATGTGATTTAAGCAAGAAATCCATGCCTTTCCCCTCTAGCCTTGTTCCAAGCTTAGCTGATTACAGGACCAAACTTACAGATTTTCAGCTAATGAAGATTATACACAAAGAAGTGGTTTGTATAGCTTGATTTATTTTGAAGAAATGAATGGTAGGTGTTTTATTTACAAAGAATTATGTATCATCATTCTAGCTACTAATATTGCCATTCTAAACTAAAAGTACAGTTTTTCAGCCTTAGAGGGTGAGGTTATTAGTGGTAACAGCACAACCAACAAGTTCTAGGCCAGAAGAAATACTTAAGTTCCAGGAAAGTAGAGCTAATTCCTGTGTTAATGATGTAGCTTTTGAACTGGATACTTAAGTATGTGGAGCCGTACTGCAACACACAGTAAATTCATAGAATGGTTTGAGTTGGAAGGGACTTTAAAGCTCATCTTGTCCCAACCCCGCTGCCACAGGCAGGGAAACCTTCCATTAGAGCATGTTGCTCCAAGCCCCATCCAACCTGGCCTTGAACACTGCCAGGGATGGGGCAGCCACAGCTTCTCTGGGCAACCTGTGCCAGTGCCTCACCACCCTCACAGGGAAGAATTTCTTCTTAATATCTCAATCTTTCCTCTGTCAGGTTAAAGCCATTTCCCTTTGTCCAGTCCTACAGGACCCTGTCAAAAGTCCCTCTCCAGCTTTCTTGTCGGCCCCTTTAGGCACTGGGAGATGCTCTAAGGTCTCCCCAGGGCCTTCTCTTCTCCTGGCTGAAGAATCACAACTCTCTCAGATGGTCAAATTGAAAAGTAAGATCTAAATTCTTGATTTTTCTAAGACTTCATGTGAAAATTTTCATATGTGGACAAAAAAGGTGGGTAACAAGGCTAGGGCACATGACCGAGTGAGACCCAGGCAGGGGCCCTGGCTCCGTGCCCAGTCACACCTCCTCTTCCTGGAGTCCTGAGGGAGTGCCTGGCCAGTGACGGTGTCCTGACTTCAGCAGTAGCAGTAATTTTTCTCCTTCTTAATAGCTGGTGCAGTGCTGTGTTTTTGACTTTCAGCCTGGGAACAGCGCTGATAACACCGATGTTTTTAGTTGCAGCTTATTTTAGTATGACCAAGGACTTTGTGAGTCTCATGCTCTGCCAGGGAGGAGGGGAAGCCAGGAGGAAGCAGAGACAGGACACCTGACCCAAACTAACCAAAGAGCTATTCCATACCACAGCATGTCATACCCAGGATATAAACTGGGGGAGTTACACGGAAGGGCTAGATCACTGCTTGGTTGGGTTGGTTGGGCTGGGTATTGGTCAGAGGGTTGTGAGCAGTTGTATTCACTTCCCTTGTTATTTCAATTCTAAATATTATTATTGGTGGTAGCAGTAGTGGTTTGTGTTATACATTAGTTACTGGACTGTTCTTATCTTAACCCTTGGGAGTTACATTCTTTCGATTCTTCCAGGTAACTCCCAGTTCTACATCCAGGCATGATATGCTGTGGTATGGAATACCTCTTTGGCTAGTTTGAGTCATGTGTCCTGTCTCTGCTTCCTCCCAGCTTCCCCTCCTCCCTGGCAGAGCATGAAACTCACAAAGTCCTATGGCCAGTCCAAACATTTGGGCAGTAACTAAAACCATCGGTGTTATCAGCTCTGTTCCCAGGCCGAAAGTCAAAAACACAGCGCTGCACCAACTATGAAGAAGGAGAAAAAATGACTGCCACTGCTAAACCCGGGACAACCTGCTACCAACTCTTTAACAGTGGGCAATGTAATGCCTTAAGTTACTTCAAACTGTCTTTCATTTTCTAGACTCAATGTCTGATTGCAGAAATCAATGTGGCCATTAGTAACGGAGTATTTGTTATGACATGATTTCCTCTGTTTTTAGGCTTGCAGAATGATTACAATAATAGAGAGGTCCTTTCTTTATAAAGGGCTGAAGATATAAATTTCAATTCACTACCATTATCAAGTGACTTTGGAAATATACATGAGGCCAGAAATCCTACCTGCTTGAAGATATTATTTCAGCAGTCATAAGCTAGTAACTTTAAAAATTGTACTAGGATGCTCAAAATTTTATAGACATCTCCAATGAAATATCATAGAATCATAGAATAGTTAGGGTTGCAAAGGACCTTAAGATCATCCAGTTCCAACCCCCCTGCCATGGCCAGGAACACATCCCACTAAACCATGATACCCAAGTCACTGTGCAACCTGGCCTTGAACACCCCCAGGGATGAAGCATTCACAACTTCCCTGGGAAACCCATTCCAGTGCCTCACCACCCTTACAGTAAAGAACTTCTTCCTTATATCCAAACTAAACTTCCCCCGTTTAAGTTTTAACCCATTACCCCTTGTCCTATCACTAGTCATAGAATCATAGAATCATAGAATCGTTAGGGTTGGAAAGGACCTTAAGTTCACCTAGTTCCAACCCCCCTGCCGTGGGCAGGGACACCTTAGGCTAGATCATATCACCCAAGGCCTCGTCCAACCTGTTCTTGAACACTGCCAGGGATGGAGCATTCACAACCTCCCTGGGCAACCCATTCCAGTGCCTCACCACACTAACAGGAAAGAATTTCCTTCTTATATCCAATCTAAACTTCCCCTGTTTAAGTTTTAACACGTTACCCCTTGTCCTATCACTACAGTCTCTAATGAAGAGTCCCTCTCCAGCATCCCTATAGGCCCCCTTCAGATACTGAAAGGCTGCTATGAGGTCTCCACGCAGCCTTCACTTCTCCAGGCTGAACAGCTCCAACTTCCTCAGCCTGTCTTCATACGGGAGGTGCTCCAGTCCCCTGATCATCCTCGTGGCCCTCCTCTGGACTTGTTCCAACAGTTCCATATCCTTTTTATGTTGAGGACACCAGAACGGCACACAATACTTCAGGTTAGATCTCACAAGAGCAGAGTGGAGGGGCAGGATCACCTCCTTTGACCTGCTGGTCACACTCCTTTTCATGCAGCCCAGGATACGGTTGGCTTTCTGGGCTGCATGCGCACACTGCCGGCCCATGTTCATTTTCTCATCAACCAACGCCCCCAAGTCCTTCTCCACAGGGCTGCTCTGAATCTCTTCTCTGCCCAACCTGTAGCTCTGTCTGGGATTGCTCTGACCCAGGTGTAGGACCTTGCACTTGGCATGGTTAAACTTCATGAGGTTGGCATCAGCCCACCTCACAAGCGTGTCGAGGTCCGTCTGGATGGCATTCCTTCCCTCCAGGGTATCAACCGAACCACATGGCTTGGTGTCATCGGCAAACTTGCTGAGAGCGCACTCAATCCCGCTGTCCATGTCAGCAACGAATATGTTAAACAAGACCAGTCTCAACACGGATCCCTGAGGGACACCACTCGTTACTGGTCTCCAGCCAGACTTTGAGCCATTGACCACAGTCATGCCCAGGATGTAACTGGGAGTTAGCTGGAAGGCCTGGGAGACTGCAGGGTTGGAGGAGGTATGGGTCAGAGCTTGGTCAGGCCTGGGGGGTGAATTATCGGTTGGCTGGTGGTGAAGTCTTGTCTTCTCTTCCCTTGTTATTTCCTTTATCATTATTATTATTGGTGGTAGCAGTAGTGATCTGTGTTATACCTTAGTTACTAAACTGTTCTTATCTCAACCTGTGGGAGTTGCATTCTTTTCGATTCTCCTCTCTGTCCCTCTGGGAGTAGGGGGAGGGCAAGAAAGGGGGGGAAGTCAGTGAACGAGTTACCTGACTGGGTTTAAACCACGACATCCTGATAGCTTCCAGATGTGCCCACGTTGTCCCTATTCTGTCTTTTTTTTGCTACTTACCTATAGAATACCTTGCTGACATCTTTAACGTCCCTAGCCAAGTTTAATTCTAACTGGGCCTTAACTTTCCTATCCTGGGCCTTAGCTTCCCGGACAACATCCCTGTATTCTTCCCAGGATGCCTATCCTTGCTTCCTCCTTTTATAAGCCTCTTTTTGTCCCTCGAGGTTTCATCAGCAGCTCCTTATCCATGCAAGGAGGTCTCCTGGCCCTCCTGCTGCACTTCCCCCTAGTTGGGATACAGCACTCCTGAGCTTGTAGCAGGTGATCCTTGAATATCAGCCAACAGTCCTGGGCTCCCCTTCCCTCTAATATCATCTGCTTTGCTATTTTATACATAGCAAATTAACATGACATACAATGCAATTAAAGTGTTTCAGTTCAATTTCTAGTTTGCTTGCACTTTCAAACAGATAGGAATTAAGCAGAAAGTTCAGTCCATGTTAAAATGTGAAAAAAAAAAGTTGAGAGATTATAAAAAAGTTTGTAATTTGCATCTTTGAATCTCTTTTCAATCAGTCCAGTGGCTAGGTACATAGCTAAGTAACTGATACAGTTGTGGGAATTAAGGCATTCAGAGAAGTTGGTCAGCGTGCTGTTTTTACTCATGGTTCTTTGAACTATGGCTCAAAGAAGGCATATGTCCTCACTTTTTACATGGAAGACATGGAAAGTTCTTAGAGAGAAATACCATGAGGGTAAAAAACCCCTTTAAAAACCTGGAGGGAGATGCCCTGAAAGCAACATTGCCCTTGGTGACTGTACAGACCCTGCACACTGCTGCCAGTGGGGCAGCAAAAGTGACAACTGAAGGGCTGGGAAACCTGCCCTTGGAGGGGAGAAAAGGGGAGAAAAGGGGAGAAAATTCCTTCACCTTGAAGGAATTGCAGGAACCCACACTAATATGTTCTGGCATATAGCACCACATCCCTGTGGACCACTACGAAATGACCTAACTAGAGACCGCGTAAACTACTTTGCTGCTGTGATTTCAAATATGGCTACAAAGCTTTCAGTGCAAAGAGGGAAGGAGAAATTATCATACCTGAAGAGGAGGGTGAGGAAGGATGTGGGCTGTCCTCCTGGGCACTTCCCATCTGCGAGAAACCTCCACCTACTCGACTTTCTTCAGTAATGTTAGAGGACCCTGGTGTTGTTGACCTGCTGACAGACTGAGACTCTTGATCACTTCCAGACCCACGTTGCTCATCAAGACCACCTTGAATTATTTCATCTTCTCCTTTCATGTCTCTTTTGTGGACCCTGGAGTGAATGACCACTTGGTGATATGTTCTGAAAACCCTTCCACAGTCCAGGCATTCAGTTGGCTTTTCTGTCACATTTCTATGACTTTGTAAGTTGTAATTGAGTCCCTGGTTCATACCATGCAACAAAAAATCTTTATTGCCTTCTGAAGGGTCTAGTTTGTTTGGCAAGTCTCTCTGATTGCCCATTTTAGTGCTGTGAACCAAATCAGCAGGCATTTTCTGCTTAGAACCATCTGCTCCTACTAACACAAACTCTTGCTTCTCCTTATCAAACATAACTCCAGCATTTGCCAAAGTGTCTTCATGGCTGCGCTGTATCTGCTGCTCTTTAGACAGAAAGCTATGTTCCATGGTCATTCCCCTTGCCATAAGCTGCCAGGCTTGATAGCTGTTTACTGGATCCATCTCTGCCGCTTTGGCAGCAGCTTGTAACCTTTCTATGCAGGTGGATTTCAGCAGAGGCACCAGATTGAGACAGCCCAATAAGGATTGTTTATCCCCTTCAGCCATACTGTTGCCAATGCCAGAAATGGGTGAAAGAAACTTCCCCAAGACTTCTTTCTCTTTCATGGGCATATCTCCTTTGTTATATATTTGATTTTGTTCACTTAAACTTGCTTTGTCAGGAGGAAGAAACCCACTCTGCAAACATGACAAATATCTTGAATATAGGCTTGTATGAGCTTCCTGGGACATGATGCTAATGGAGACAGGTACTTCAGGATCATTAGGAGATTTGTTCTTTACAGATAACTTATTCAGGTAAACTTTCATGTGATTTTTAAGAAACCAAGGCTCTTTGAATTGCCTCCCGCATATCTGACAGCAGTGTTCAAAGGAATCCTTGTGCTTTCTCATGTGGCCTTTTAGGAACCAGGCTTGGCTAAACACTTGGCTGCAAACCTTGCAACGGAACTTGTTGGTGGACTGCTCCCCATTCCTGTTGGAGTCCTGGCCCTGGGCTGACTCTTCAGTTATGTGAGCCTTCTCCATGTGGCTGATCAGCTCCTCCTCCTTTGAGGCAGCAAAGTCACACAGGGTGCACTTGTAAGGCTTGTGCAGGATTCTTATGTGCCTGTCCAGCTCTTCTCTCTTCTTAAACTTGCCTTTGCAAAATGTGCATCTAAACCCAGCTGTCTGAGTGACAACTTCTTCCTGAACACTGACTGGCTTTGGGGAGGGAAGAGGGTTTGTAATATCAGGTGTGCTGTGATTAGCTGGCACAGACAAGTTACAGTTTGTGAGAGGCATTGGCTGGGAGTACCACTGTGCTTTCACATTGGGTCATGGCTGCAAGAGGTGCTCTTCATCTGTTTGTCCCGAAGAATTGCTCTCTCCTCCAGCTCATGTAAAAGTCTGTTTTCTTCTCGTACTCTTCCACGACCTTTGCCAAGGTTTCCAAGATTATGAGTACGCAGGTGTATCTTCAGGTTGCCTTTCTGAGCTGCTCTGTGGTCACAGTATGGACACTTAAATGATTTCTCTCCAGTATGAGTTCACATGTGTAGCGACAGGATGCTGTTAAAGCCAAAGCGTTTCTCACACAGAGGACATGGGTACTTCCTGTTTTTCCTGGCATCATCCTCTATATCACTCACCTGAGACATAATGCCTAGGTTTTGTCCATTCAAGAACTGCTGCAGGTTTATGTGCCCATTCAAACTGGTATCAACCTGTCTATTGAGCTGGTGGGCCAACAGAGCCATCTGACTGCTGATGGGCTGGTTTGCTATGGACATGTGTCTTTTGTCTTCTAGTGGTGCTGACACCTTCTCCTCTGGATTCTGCCTTTTCTGGAGCTCTGGGAAGTCATGGCTGAGCTGGGAAGTGACCTGGTGCAGCTTCTGGCTCATTGAATACTGCCCATTGAGTATGGTGCTGTTGAGATGGGTGTCAGCTTCTGGCACAGCTGAAGAAACACCAAGGCACAAACTAGCTTCTTCCATCTCTGAAAATCAGAAGATAGTTTAGATTCAGACTGTGAGAGTTACAAACATTGAATCACTGATGTACAATTTGCATTTTATGTTTTACCTACTCATAATAATGCAAAGGAATTAGTGTAAAAACAATAAAAAATGTATTAAATGCCAACTGTGCTACACAATTTTGACCATACATGTGCTTTCATCATTCTGTATGTTTGCCAATAGCCATTAAATACTATTTTAAAATATGCTACAATTTCAAAATCTAATTCCTACTGAAGGGGCAAAAGTTTTTACCACCTCCCTTGTCTGTCTTCTTGTGAAACTGCACCCATTTACATTTCTAAATATATAGAAAAAGAACTGTTGTGCATCTCTCCCATTTCCATTAAAAAAGCCAGTAAAAAAAAAAACAAACCAAAAATAGAAATCCATTTGTAACTTTCAGTTCCATATTCAATATATTGAACATTCTACAATGAGAAAGATAGTTTTATGATTTGAAAAAAAAAATCAATGGTATGATATTCACTGGTGTACAATAAAAAAAGATAACGTTCTGGGAAAAAATAAAGGACAAGCTTTAGAACAATAAAATGGATTTTTCTTTAGTCTGCTAAAAATACAGTAATTTCTCATTAAGCTGATTAGTATGTTGTTTAGAAACAGTACTAAGCACTGTAATATATGATTATAATAATAAAAATCCTTCAGTGTTTGCAAGTAAGCATTAATGAGGTATATTCAGTTTTAAGGAGACTGCAACTAGCAGCTTTGTAAACCTCCAAGACTAAGAACATAAAAAGGACATGGAACTGTTGGAACAAGTCCAGAGAAGGGCCACGAGGATGATCAGGGGACTGGAGCACCTCCCGTATGAAGACAGGCTGAGGAAGTTGGAGCTGTTCAGCCTGGAGAAGAGAAGGCTGCATGGAGACCTCATAGCAACCTTCCAGTATCTGAAGGGGGGCTATAGGGATGCTGGGGAGGGACTATTTGTTAGGGACTGTAGTGATAGGACAAGGGGTAACATGTTAAAAATCAAACCAGGGAAGTTTAGACTGGATATAAGGAAGAAGTTCTTTACTGTAAGGGTGGTGAGGCACTGGAATGGGTTGCCCAGGGAAGTTGTGAATGCTCCATCCCTGGAGCATTCACAACTTCAAGGCCAGGATGGATCGAGTATTGGGTGACATTGTTTAGTGGGAGGTGTCCCAGCCCATAGCAGGGGGGTTGGAACTGGATGATCTTAAAGTCCTTTCCAACCCTAACTATTCTATGACTCCATGATTATATGATTTAACCCTTCTGTTACGAAACATTTTTTTTTGTCATTTTGAAACTGAACCCATTATAAATTGCTCTTCAATAAATTATTGAATAAATTATCTCCTGATGAGTCTTTTAATTTGTCATTGAGAACCTTCAGATTTCAGTTCTTAGGAAAAACTTCCAGATTACAGAAGGTATATCTCTGTTCTTCAATGGGTAAGATGTGATTGAAGGCACTTTGACTTTTTTCAAAGAGCTCTCTTATGGAATTAGGTAAAACCAATTAAAACCTGGGGAAGGTGCTGTGAAAAGCCTCAACAAATTTAAGAATTTTAATAACTTTCCTAGTACACAGTAATGACTAAAATTGTACCTACACTATGTATATTGCAGAAAATTTGAATTTAAAGCTGTTTGTGAAACACAAGTGTCTGTTCCGGTCTGCATAACTGACCACAATAGTCTTCTATCCTCACCATTTCTCTACTCTATGAAGATAGAATGTATTTATAAAAGTCTGTTTAAAATATAAAGTTTTACATTAATAACTCTCAAACTATATGATGCTATAAGGTTATATTAGAACATAATTAAGATCTGTGTTGTTCAGTGATTTGACACTTTATTCACTAATAAAATGACTGAATTCTGTATGTTACTGGATAATTAATTTGGTCAACTTTCAGTTTGGCTTTAGCCAAAAGCTAAAAGTCACTATGCCGTCTACAAAGGCTACAGGCACACTCCAGGTGAACAACATTCCTCACACAGCTTCGTACTGGCCACTTGCTAGACAATTTGAGGCCCAAATCTAGAACATAGTGAAAATGAATGCAATTGTCCACCTGGGAGTAGTCTAGTAGACTTCAGAGGGTGACTCTTGAAAGCAAAGTAAGTCCCCCACATGCTTAAGTATTTGCAGGATCAGGGCCTAATAAAAAGGCATGGGCCCTCAAAAGGATGACTGAGGTTGTGATACAATGCAGATCTTGTAAGAAGTAAAGGGGGAAGTGGATATTCATGTGTATTCAAGATGAACGTGAGCTGCAGAATTTTTATCAGATGCAAAGCAAATCTTTTTTGAAGTTTAACAGTGCTTAGATTCAGGTTTCATGTTGGGGACCCACTACTTACATGCTGTCAATATTATTATTTATAAAAATATTAATGAGATCAAGCCTATAAAAGGAAAAGGCTTATACCAAAAAGCCATAGGACCACACTTAAGTTTAGGTTGCAGTGTCTTACTTCCAAATGTAGGGGAACATAGACAAGCTGAGGTGTTTACACAAGGTGTTCACCCAAGGCCATGGAGTAAAGAAATACAATTCTTGGCTTCCATGCAAGTTTTCTGTGCAGCAGGGTACAATCATTCAAAATGTGGGTACATATGAAAATACTTCTTTTAATGTTTGAAAGTTCACTTAACTTTTGAAACAAGCCACATTTTATGTTCGAAATGATTAGCTAGACATCTGAGAGCTGCAGTACTTAGGCTTGCCATTACCTGAAGTTGACATTAGTTACTGGACTGTTCTTATCTTAACCCTTGGGAGTTACATTCTTTCGATTCTTCTCCCCAGCCTTCCAGAACTGGGGGGGGAGGAAGGGGGAAGGGGGGGGAGTGAGAGACTACGCGGCTGAGTTTAAACCACAACAGTACTTTTTGGCTCCCAACATGGGGCACGAAGGGTTGAGATATTGACAGACATAACCGGAGTGTGTCTAATTGTGTTTGTGATAAGCGTTTATTGTTTTGGATTAATAGTCACTCGTCACAACACTGATTTATTGGCTCTCAAAGTTGTTGCTCTTGATGTCACAGTTTCAGCGTGTCGTAAATGTTTACTCTGATCAAGGACTTTTTAGTCTCATGCTCTGCCAGTGAGGAGGGGCATGGGAAGCCAGGAGGAAGCAGAGACAGGACACCTGACCCAAACTAGCCAAAGGGGTATTCCATACCACAGCACGTCATGCCCAGTATATAAAACTGGGGGGGAGTTACCAGGAAGGCCACATCACTGCTCCGGTTGGGCTGGGTATTGTTTGGTGGGTGGTTGTTAGCGGCGAGGAGAAGCAAGACACTCCAACTCATTATGGGTGATAAGCAAGCTTCTACTTTATTCGTGGTGCACATCGCTTATATCCACGTGGTGTTAGCCACGCCTACTAGTCACAACAGTATTGGTTAGTTCTACACGGCTTCCTTTACATTCTCCTCCCACGTCCGGTTTCCGGTTACCTGTGAGGCCTACACTTTGCTTTGCTCGCACAAGGCCTCTAAGGATCCATGGCCTTGCTCTTGGAGCCATTCTGCAACAATTCCCCCTTTTTTCTTTTGTGCGAGCAAAACATTGTGGGTCATTCTGTTCACTTGTTTCATTAAACAACTATAAGCAAGTCTAACAACTACAATGATTAAAATAACAATGATACATAAGCGCAATCCTTCAAATAGCAGTGTTTTAAGCCAACCTGTAATGACCCATGAGGACAACCATTTAGTTATCCCTAGGTCATTGCTCACTTGCAATTGCTGGGAAAGCTGAGGCAGGGTTTTCAGCTGTGCGTGTATCGAATTAGAATGATCAGAAAGATTCATACAACACATTCCATCAAACTCTTCACATCCATGTCCCTGCGCCAACAACAAAAAGTCTATAGCGGCTCTGTTCTGCAGTGTTGCATGTCTCACAGAGTCAACATCAAACAACAAATCAGAAATTGCCTTCGATGTAGCATTTGTCTGCTTAGCAAGCCAGCAGCCTAGCTTGTTTAACTGAGCCAAGGCCCCAGCTGAAGCACTTAAAGTGATTTGGCATATTATGATTGTTGTCACTGTTGTGACTAGTAGGCGTAGCTAACACCACGAGGATATAAGCGATGTGCACCACGAATAAAGCAGAAGCTTGCTTATCACCCATATTGGGTCGGCGTGTCTTGCTTCTCCTCGCCGCTAACAGATGAGGATCTAACTGATCTCATTGCCTCCCCCCCATACAAAGTGAAGAGCATTCCTGCTCTGTGGGTCCTACGGTGGCTGGGGACTTTGTGTTGAAGACTTGGAAACACAATGTTTGGTAGTGCTGTTAGCTTGTTTTCAGCTGGTCAAAATCTATGGAAATAAAGATCTTGTAATATAATGTATAATATAGTGCAATGTGCCTTTTGTCTTACCAGTTTAATACTGAATAGATGTGATAGCATTCATATGAATATTAATTTTGTAATAAAAAGCAAGAGGCTGTGTATTAGTTGTGGGTTCTTGCCGCAGAAAATATATGGACTCAGTCAGAGATCAATATGATCAGACAGAAGCCATTTATTACAAAGCCTTAACCCCTTTAATACTATTTCTTACATGCACTTACAGTGATTTGGCATATTATGATTGGATACATGTCTTGAAGACCCTTTGCAACTAGCATATAATTGGTTAAGCACAGGTGTGGGAACTTGACTTCAAAAGCTTGCCAACAGTCCACAGTTCTCATTGCCTCAGTGAATTCCAGCTTCTTATCTTGCTTGCTTAAGCTTCCTTGGGCCTCTCACGGCCTTGTTGTATCTTTCAGGATTTTCAGAGTTTATGTACCAATTATCCATTCTCCTGTGAGAACACTGTCTCCACATCTCCCCCTTTTTGTTTTATATATGGTTTGGATGACTCTACTTGAGCAGGGGATTTGGCCTAGATCATATCTCCAATATATGCCAACTACAGGCTGCTGGGCCTGCCCCTTTTTTTC